TTGTTTGATTTATATACCACCTATCTAGTCTTGCGACCACTCTAGGTGGCTAGAGTGCATATTCATTTTACCGACCCTGGAAGAACAGAAGGCTGAGTCAGCCTTAAGCCATCTTCCTGAATCTGTTGAGATTGAACCGGACTTTGAGTTTAACCACTGTGCCTTGAGGAAAATGGGAGGAGACCCCCGCATTCAGATTGGGTTGCCCTGTATTCCAGGCCCCTCTTTTTTCCAAAGGAAAATGTCTTTCTGTTTTAGGAGCAAAAATCTTTATCGTAGAGGGTCAGAATGTCTATTTGTATATATTTTGCCAACACATAATCTTTTGGAGGGAGATACCATTTATTTATTAGAAGTGCATGTTTATATATATCTTTGGAAAAGGGTGGCTGCATGAAAAGTGAAACAGTGTTCCTGGATCTTTAAAAGAAGCATGGAAGAGGGAATTACTAGTGTGTGAAACTGCTGAAACACCTTCTTCCACACATCGATTAAATGTCCTGGGGTCCTAGCTTCCTAATTCTGTACAGTGGTGCCTCGCTAAACGATGATAATCCGTTCCACTGAAATCGCTGTCTAGCAAAATCACTGTCTAGCGAAAAGCAAATTGTCATCTAGCAAAAATCGGTTTGTGAAGCAGGGACCAAACATTGTCCAGCTAAATTCCCCCATAGGAATCACTGTTTTACGAATCGCTATAGTGATCACAAAAAGTCAATGTCTAGCGAAAAAATGGTCATGCGGGGTAACTGTCTAGCGAGGCACCACTGTACTCCACTTCAAAAACAGTTGGGAACAGCCCTTTTCTATGAGGCTAATGGACAGGCTAGGGGTGGTGGGACATGTAGTCCAAAACGAACATTTCCAAGCTCTATATTTCAGCACAATTTGAAGTAATGTTCCTGCAACATTAAATTGATAGTCTAACATTTGTATCCCAAGTGTTCTGGTCATGCATCAGAACCTTCAACCCATTCCCTATGAAGAGTCAACATGATCTGAATTGTGGAAGAGGAATGAGGGAAAGAGGGAGGAAGGAATAAGATAGATCAAAACAAGCATTTCATTAATTTGTCCTGTTGTTTCTTTAACCCAAGGTTAAGGCCCATCTCGTTTGCAACAGAAACATACCTGGATCAGGAAACATCACCAAGAAGAAGACGAAGAAGAGAAGAACACCACAGAACTTCATTGTGCTTGGAAATAGAGAACAAACACTTGGTTGTGGATTTCGTATCTGGCTGAAGACGAGAACACAAAACTAAGAGGAGGAAATATTTGAAATGACTTATATAATGCTTGGGAGACTGCAGCCTGTTGCAATCTCAACCGGCAGAACCATCAAAGGTTTCGTAACAATTTCCTTAGATTGTCAGTATTTCACCAATCCACTCAAAAGTTCTTGGAAAGCAATATGAACGGCCTAGTTGATTCAGATTTCAGTTATGATAATAAATCTGTGTGGCAAATCAATTCTTAGTTTAGTGTTTTATACATGTACAGTTCGGTAATATATTATATTATCTCCAGCCAAAGACAGAATTTCTATCAACATTCCTGGTTTGAATCAATTTCTTGGAGGTCCAGGCTGAAGCAGAATGTCTGCTTTACCTCTTAGTTTTCAAGGAAACCCTAGGAAAAATGGCAGATGTGAGTGTATTGGACACAATTCCCCCTTTTTACATTGTGTGGTTTATTCCTTTCAAAGGGCTCTTCTTGTAGACTCAGTTAATTTACAATCCACAAACTCCAAAAATTCAAATACAGTGGTGCCTCCCTTAACGACATTAATTCGTTCCAGCGAAATCGCTGTAGAGCGAAAACATCGTAAAGCCAAAATTAAAAAAAAACATTAAAACCTGGTTAATGCGTTCCAATTGGCTAAAAACTCACCGTCCAGCGAAGAGCCTCCATACGGCGGCCATTTTCGGTGCCTGTATAGCGAGGAATCCATCCCTAAACACAGCGGGGAGCCATTTTGAGCACCCGGTGGCCATTTTGAAAACCCCACGATCAGCTGTTTTGATCGTCGTAATGCGAAGAATCGGTTCCCGAAGCAGAGAACCGATCTTCTCAAAGCGAAAAAAACACCTCATTTAAAACATTGTTTTGCGATCGCAATTGCGATTGCAAAAACATCATCATAAAGCAGATTCGTCGTAATGTGGGGCAATTGTTAAGCGGGGAACAACTATATCTCTTTCTGCTCTTATTATTGATATAACCTTCTAGATCCCTGGTGGCAATTTTCTTCAAATATATGCATTTTATGAAGTTCCTAGTACAAGAGATGCAGAAAGAAGAAAGTGCTTCAAGAGAGACATCTTGGAACATGTCGTTTGTTACTCAATGTAAGTTATTCCTTTAATTATCTAAAGTAGATACTTTAGAGTCAATATTCACTATCTGAAAGTTAGTACTGCTTTGAACATTGATACAACCTACTAGATTCCTAAAGGCAGTTTTCTTGATAATAAGATTAAATAAAACACCAAAGGAAGCTATCTGGTCATTACACAAAATAAGTGTAGAAGTGTGAGCCACCTGTATTAGACCAATAATAATCAAACAATTAACGCAAGCCTTTATGGGATAAAAACCCACTTTTTCAGGCATACACCAGTAACTTGTGAGTAATACAGACACATTATAAATGAGTGTCCAAAAAGTCCATGATAAAAATTGATGAGCAAAATCTACTTAAGGTGTTTTTTAAGTTGGATACAGGCTGGTTGTGTGTGAGTGGATGGGTGGGTGGGTGTTTAATGTTTCATTCTGTGCCATGTGGTTGAAAATTTCCACAAAGGCAGGGAACCATAAGCCTGAATTAGCCTTTCCCTCCTCAACATTTCCTGCTTTAGAAAACAACTTTCAAAACAAATGAAGTGGTAAAGTAGAGGGATTTATATGGAGTAGCCTTCTATCCATAGTTCTTCAGGCACAAGAAAAGAGTGGGAGAAGCTGTACTGGGAAACAATCACAAAAACGAAATAATGATTTCAATACGAATCCAAGGCAGTCCTTTCAATTAGTAATATTATGTAGTTTTTATTAATTTATATATAGTTGTGTGTTTCTTATGTGACTGGAGACCAGAAGTCAAAAATAAGAGGAGGAAATGTTTCCCATGGCTTATATGTGAGATTACAGCATGTTGTAATGCCAACTGTCTCTCTCAGATTTATCAACAACTGCTTTAGATTATCTTTGGGTAACTGATCTACTCAAAAGGGCTTTAAGATTTCAGTTATAATAAGACTTTTGCAGGATAAATTGATTCTGAGTTAACAGAGCCTCCCAGAGATTTCTAAGTATAAATGACTCAAAAGTGGTTTTATGGAACTTTGGGCCCAAAACATAACTTGCCCAAACATACAAATGAATAAGGGCATGTAAACCACCCCCAGCCAGATACTGTACACTCGAAATGGAGATTCAAATGCCAAGTAAGCCCTTGGCCCCACAGCTAAGCACCCGAAGCCACTAAGCTTAGAAGAGGCAAAAACCTGACTTAGATTACAGTGGTGCCTCGCTAGACAATGATAATTCGTTCCACTGAAATCGCTGTTTAGCAAAATCATCGTCTAGCGAAAAGCATTTCCCCATTGGAATGCATTGAAACCTGTTTAATGCGTTCCAAAGGGGAAGAATCGTCATTGTCTAGCGAAGATCGGCCATAGGAAAGCCGCTTTGCAAACCGGCGATCAGCTGTTTAAATAGCTGTCTTGTGAAGCTTAGGTCCCGAAAACACCCGTTTTGTGAGCATGGAGGGAGCTGTCAAAATTGTTGTCTAGCGAAAATTGGTTTGCAAAGCAGGGACCAAACATTGTCCAGCGAAATTGCCCCATAGGAATCACTGTTTTGCAAATCGCTATAGCGATCGCAAAAAGTCAATGTCTAGCAAAAAAACCTGTCATGCGGGGTAACTGTCTAGCAAGCCACCACTGTATATTGATGTCGAAGCTGAAGCTGTCTTGCTTTGGCTAAATCAGGAGAAGGCAGGATTCTCTGGAACAACCAGTAATTCTCTGGAAAAACCAGTAATGCTGAGAAATTTAGTTAGCTGCTAAAGGGCACTTTCTTAAGGGAAACCACTTTGTGGGTGTATAACTTGGATTTCCAAAACCCAATGTTCACCAAATATGGGTGGGCTGTAGGGGACATTTGGAGGACGCTTATCTGTCGTTTTGGTGTTTCTAGGTGCCTGGGGAGAAATTTCCTGGTGGGGTCCTGTTTGTTTATGTATAAGATTGACATCCAAAACTCAAACATCACCAAACGTGCAGAATTTGTAGAGGAGAAACATATAAAGGATTTCTGTTCTTTTGGTGCTGGGTGTGTTTGCATGTTATAGAGTTTTCAATCATTATGAATTGATTCATTGATTCATCCCCCAAAAAATCATAAATTCATGATGCATGATTCATTGACCTTGATGAATTATGAATCGCAACAAATCTCCATTTTTTTCCGACTCGTGTCCATCTCTGTTTCAAATTCTGTGTTTCTGATTCTGAGAGCCGCATAAGCCACTAACAAAGCAGATAGAGCCATATTTACAAACCTGGCTGGGCAACGTAAATCCAATGCATTTTGCTTTTATTAAATGGCAAAGCAGGCTTTCATTTTGGTGAAAAGATTCATTGAATTGTGGAAACAATCAAGCGACTATCAGATGCTAGCGTAGGGTCTTCTCCTCCTCCTCCTCCTCCTCCTTCTTCCATGGAAATCAGTTCTTTCATTGTTTTAAGCAAATGGTCTGCCAAAGAAAAGATTTAATATTGGTTCCAGATCCAAAATATCTCAAGGACCTCATCATCTTAACATACACTACCAGTCTCCAGATGGGTTGATTTTTTTAAAAGGCAGAATATGTATAAATGTAAATACAGTGGTGCCTCGCATAGCGAGGTTAATCCGTTCCGGATTAACCATCGCTATGAGAAACATCGCTCAACGGAACAAAAAAACCCATTAAAACGCATTAAACTTGGTTTATTTTATTAAATGGCAAAGAAGCAACACTACTTTAACAGGCTTTCATTTTGCTGAAAAGATTCATCGAATTGTGGAAACAATCAAGCGACTATCAGATGCTAGCATAGGGTCTTCTCCTCCTCCTCCTCCTCCTCCTTCTTCCATGGAAATCAGTTCTTTCATTGTTTTAAGCAAATGGTCTGCCAAAGAAAAGATTTAATATTGGTTCCAGATCCAAAATATCTCAAGGACCTCATCATCTTAACATATACTACCATATTAAGCAACTCTGGTGTGTTGTCTAGTATTCTTATACAGTCTCCAGATGGGTTGATTTTTTTTAAAGGCAGAATATGTATAAATGTAAATAATTGCACCATGTAAACTCTTAAGGGTTACAACAGATATGTGACAGATAGATCAGACAAACACTGGAATTGAATTACAGTAACCCAAAGAAAGGCGTTTCAGGTAAGTGGGATATCTAAGGAGTGTTTTTTAATAACCTCCAGGCGCCAATGAGTTTGCAGGCCAAGTGGGGCTTTGAACCCAGGTTTCCAGAGTCTTAGTTTAGCATATAGTCCACTGCAACACAATTGGGTACCATGTATAGTAAATAAATGATCCTATATTTCACTTTCTCTGTGTTACTCCCAGACTGACATCAACCCCAGGGAAAATTCTGGAGCAGATTAGAAAGCCGTCACTCTACAAGCACATTGAAACAATGAAGTAATAACTGGAAGCCAACTTGTCAAGAACAAACATGCAAACTCTTAAGGGTTACAAAAGATATGTGACAGATAGATCAGACAAACAAAGAAACACTGAAATTGAATTACAGTAACCCTAAGAAAGGCTTTTCAGGTAAGTGGGATACCTAAGGAGTGTTTTTTAATAACCTCCAGGCGCCAATGAGTTTCCAGGCCAAGTGGGGCTTTGAACCCAGGTTTCCAGAGTCCTAGTTTAGCATATAGTCCACTGCAACACAATTGGGTACCATGTATGGTAAATAAATGATCCTATATTTCACTTTCTCTGTGTTACTTCCAGACTGACATCAACCCCAGGGAAAATTCTGGAGCAGATTAGAAAGCCGTCACTCTACAAGCACATTGAAACAATGAAGTAATAACTGGAAGCCAACTTGTCAAGAACAAATTCTGCCAGATAAACCTATTTCATTTCTTGATGAGGTAAACTCCCTGGTCAATGATGGGGATTCTGTAGACATAATATACCTTGCTTTTAGCAAACCCTTTGTCAAAGTGCCGCATGATATTCAGATTAACAAGCTAATTAAGTGTGGGCTGGCCAGAACAACTGTGAAGTGGATACACAGTGGTTACAGAACTGAAGGCAGAGAGTCCTTACCAGCAGTTGCTAAGTGCAAAGTTCAGCGTCATAGGGGAAAAAAAAACTTAAACACGTATGATAGGGGATACTTGGTTCAGTAATGCTACAAGCAAGAAAGATCTTGTAATTGTTAACTATCATATCCTGAATATGACCCACAGTGTAATGTGGCTACAAAAAAAAGGGCTAATGCCCTTTTAGGATGTATGAACAGAACCACTGTCTCCAATTCGTATGAAGTCCTAGTTCCACTCTAGGCCTCATCTTGAATATTGTGTCCAGTTCTAGACTACACACTTTAAGGAGGATGTCAGCAAACTGGATCAAGTTAAGAAGATGGCAACAAGGCTTATCAGGGGACTGGAAACCAATCCCTATGACGAAAGACTGAAAGAACTGGGAAAGCTTCCCCTTGAGAGAGGAAGGTAGGTTTTGACTGAATATCACAGGAATCTTCTCAACTGTTAGAGCAGTATGACAAAGGGACCAATTAACTTGGGAGGTGGTGAGGACTGCAACGCTGAAAGCGTTCAAGAGAAAACAGTAAAGTCACCTGTCAGATCTGCTTTGATATGGATTCTTGAACTGAGCAGGAGGTTGGACATTATGACCTCATAGGCCCCTTCCAAGTCCATTATTCTACGAATCTTATTTATGTATTGATTTAAGAGATTTTGTAAAGATTTTGTTTTTCTTTACTTCTAAGGTCTCCCTCCCTTGCTTACTCTCTTAGTTCAGGCCTTGGAGCGGCATTTTAGACAGAAAAACGATATGTGGAACTTACTCTTTACAGCAAATTTGAGTACGGCTGCAACGTCCAATTTGTCTTTGAGAAAAAGGACAGCCATTTCTGCTAAAAACACAGCGGCCATTTGCACGGATACATTGACGTCTGGTAAAGATGCCCCTGGCACTTCCTGCTTGAAGAAAGGTAATGAGGGTGAGGAACAGTCCAGAATGGGAGCCTGTGACCCAGCATGTGTACACTGAGAAAAACTAAAACCTCGCTCATATTCTGCATTCAGCATCTTACCTGTTCTTGATGCAGGCGCGCGCACACACACACACACACACACACACACACACACACACACACACACACACACATGGAATGTGAACACCAAAATCAAGTAGCAGATTAGGAGAGAATTTGTAACTTCACTTTTTGACTCTGTGCCACATCTATGAAAGCAGGGGCCTTCCAAATATCTTGGATACAGTGGGGTCTCGACTTACGAACAGCTCAACGTACGAATGTTTCGACTTACAAACCGCTCTCATAGGGATATATGGACTCGACTTGCGAACTTAGAGTCAAGTTACGAACTCTTTTTTTTCTTTTTTTTAAAGCTAAGTCATCTTAGGTTAAAAAGAAAAAAGAAAAAATATCCCCCTCTAGTGGCAGAAGGCGGAATAGCAGCTTCCCATTAGGTTCTATGGACGAAAAGAGCAGATACGGATTAAATGGTTTTCAGTGCATTCCTATGGGAAATGCAGGTTCGACTTACGAACTTTTCGACCTGAGAACTGCCTTCCAATACGGATTAAGTTCGTAAGTCGAGACCCCACTGTATTAACTGTTATGAGCTTGTGTCTAAGGGCTATCAGACACACATACGTACAACAGTCAATGGGATATGTAGTCTAAAACTTTAGACATAATATGAGAAAGGAAATCTCACTGTGGGAAAGGCAATAATGCTAAGTAGAAATGAAGTCAAGAGGAACAGAGGAAGACCAAATAGGATATGGATTAACTCAGTAATGAACCACTGAGTTTGCAGTTCCTGAGTAGATCTGTTAATGATGCAACCTTCTGAAGATGACTAATTCATAAAGTCATCCTAAGTCCAAAGCAGGGGCTTCCAACTAATGCTAGCACATGATACCAATAACATAGAACTGCAACATTAAAGGCAACAAGATGGGCATGAACCACGACCATAAATAAGGGAAGAACATTGCACGTTTTCCTCCCTTCGCAGCTGGCCAGTCCAGACTGGCTGTTTGTGCGCATGCACCCACCTCTCAGCAGAAAGGTGGGTGCATATGCAGTTGGAGAGATAGCCGGTCCAGCTCCAGGAAGGGAAGTCCAGATATGTACCAAAGGAACCCCCATATCCTCCCAACCGTATTGTCCTCCCATCCCCCAGCAAGATACTCATTTTATCAAGCTCAGAAGGATGGAAGACCAAGCCAGCTCCCAGTTACCCATATCCATTGGGATTAAACTCAAGTCATGAGCAGAGTCTTCACTGCAATACTGCTGTGTAAACACTTTACTGCAAGGAAGATGAAAGGGGTTTCCAAGTTCATCTTGGCTTGTCCTGAGTTCCAGGACCCTCTTTCTCCAGTAGAAAAGGGACAATGGCTTTTTGCTTTTGGAATAGAAGTTTTATCACAGAGGGTTAGCACTTCTGTTCATTTTGGAGAGACACCCCCATGTGTGTGTGTGTGTGTGTGTCTGTGTGTGTGTGTGTGTGTGTGTGTGTGTGTGTGTGTGTGTGTGTGTAATAAGAGTCATTTACTGAAAGTACATGTTTGCATGCATCTGGGGTGGCCACATGGACTTTGAAACACAGCTCCTGCACCATTAAGAGAAGCGCGGAAGAGGGAATCCCAATGTGTGAAACTCGTTCGTCCACACATTTATTAAATGTACAGATGTCACATCTTCCAAATTCTGTATACCACTTCAAAAATTTGGGAATAGCCCTTTTCTACAAGGCCAATGGACAAGCTGGGAGCACTTGAAGATATCATCCAAAATGGACCTTTTCCACACTCTGCACTTTAGCACCATTTGAAATAATGTGCCTGCAGAATTGAATTGATAGTCTAACATTTCCATCCGAAGGGTTCACTTTAAAAAATAAAAAATCATGTATCAGAAACTTCATCACATTCTCTATGAAGAGTCAACATGATCTGAGTTCAAGACGAGTAATGGCTGGAGGAGAAGTGGCAGGGAGAGGACAGGAAATCAAAACAGCCGTTTAATTAACTTGTCTTGGTCATGATTAAAATTACTTCCATCCAAAGCTGAGACCCATGTCGTTCCCAACAGAAACATACCTGGATCAGGAAAGATCACAAAGAAGAAGATGAAGAAGAGAAGACCGCAGATCTTCATGGTGGTGGCAGAGAAAGAGTAGATACTCGGTTATGGGTTTCTTATCGGACTGGAGAACAGAAATCAGCAATAAGAGGAGGAAATAGTTTCCATTGTTTATATACTGTTTGAGAGATTATAGCATGTTGTAATGCCAACCGTCTTAGCCACCAATGGTTTAGCAACAACTTCCTTAGATGGCCGCTGGCTAGTTGGCCCGCTCAGCAGTACAAAGGGCCTAATTGATTCAGAGTTTAGTTATAATCAGAATTATGCATGGGATATTGAGTTACAAAGAATCTCCCAGGGATATCTAAGTATAAAGTACTCAGACACGGTTTTCTCGTTCCTGGTTTTGGGCTAAAAACAGAGCTTTTCCAAATGTACAAATGCATAAAAGCATGTAACCCCCTCAACCAGATACACTCAAAGTTGAGATTCAAATGCTGAGTGAGCCCTTGGTCCCACAGCTAAGCACCCCAAGCCACTGAGCTTAGAAGAGGCAAAAACCTGATTTAGTTTATATTGATGTTGAAGCTGAAGCTGTCCTCCTTTGGCCATATCAGGAGAAGGCAGGGTTCTCTGGAACAACTCATAATGCTGGGAAAGGTGGGAGGCAGCAGGAAAAGAGGACTAAAAATGAGATGGTTGGACTCCCTAAAGGAAGCCGTTGGCTTGAATCTACAGGAGCCGAGCAGGGCAGTTGAGGACAAGGGCATTTTGGAGATCCCTCATTCATAAAGCCGCTGTAAGTCAGAGGTGACTTGAGAGTATATTACAACCAAAAACAAGTGGATGTATTTTTATTGGAGTTAGTGAAAGATTGAATGAAAATAATATATTAAATTAAGTTCCCAGGAGGGCTTTGTACAAGGTTTGGCCAAAGTCTGAATTACTAACAAGATGTCCTCATTTGAATGGATTTCTCTGAGATCCAGCAGGAAGCAGAATATTTCATTTTCAAGGAATCCCTGGGAAAACGTGCACATGTCACTGTGTTGTACACATATTTCCGCAATGACATTTTGTTGTCTATTCCTTTCATTGGCCTCTTTCGGTAGTTTTACTTGGTTTCCCCAGCTGGGTATGTCGCACATGTGTTAGACCAGTGGTTCTTAACCTTTGTTACTCGGATGCTTTTGAACTGCAACTCCCAGAAACCCCAGTCAGCACAGCTGGTGGTGAAGGCTTCTGGGAGTTGCAGTCCAAAACTCCTGAGTAACCCAAGGTTAGGAACCAGTGTGTTAGACTACAAATCCTCTAAGTCAGTGGTCGGAAAGGCCCAGAGTAGACTGTTCTACCGTGGGACTTTACTCTAAGAACTTGTTGAATTGACATTTGGCACATCCTTTCTGGGAACAGTTGATTTAATTGTCACCCTCCAAACCACCATAGATCTTTCTGTCTGCTCTGTACTAAAAAGGTTAGCAAAGAATGTCTTTATTCTGGATGAAGAATATGGAGCCTGTGCAACATTGTTGAACAACAATAAGTCGCTCTAAAGGCCAATCACAAGCGGAATATGAGCCAACAGTGTGATATGGTTGCAAAAAAAAAGGCCAACGGTATTTTAGGTTGCATTAACAGAAGTATAGTTTCCGAATCATGTGAAATATTTATTCCCCTCTATTTGGCACTGGTTAGGCCTCTTCTTGAGTACTGTGTTCATGCAACATTGTTGAACAACAATAAGTGGCTCTAAAGGCCAATCACAAGCGGAATACGAGCCAACAGTGTGATATGGTTGCAAAAAAAAAGGCCAACGGTATTTTAGGTTGCATTAACAGAAGTATAGTTTCCGAATCATGTGAAATATTTATTCCCCTCTATTTGGCACTGGTTAGGCCTCTTCTTGAGTACTGTGTTCCACTCAGGACACAACAATTTGGGAGAAACTGCAAAGAAACTGGAACAAGTTCAGAGGAGGGCAACAAGGATGTTCAGGGGGCTTGAAAGATAGGAAGAACTAGCCATGTTTTATGTTGAAAAAAGAAGACAGAGGGTAATATGATAACTCTTTTCAAATACTTAAAAGATAGTCCTGCAGAGGAGGGGCATGATCTGTTCTTGGCCATTCTAGACTTCAATGCATATACTAATTGGCTGAAGTTACAAGAAGCCAGAGTTAGGCGAATATCAGGAAAAAACATCTTAACTGTTGTTGTTGTTGTTTAGTTGTTAAGTTGTGTCTGACTTTTTGTGACCCCCATGGACCAGAGCCCGCCAGGCCCTCCTGTCTTCCACTGCCTCCCAGAGTTGGGTCAAATTCATGTTGGTCGCTTCAATGACACTGTCCAACCATCTTGTCCTCTGTCATCCGCTTCTCCTCTTGCCCTCACACTTTCCCAACGTCAGGGTCTTTTCCAGGGAGTGTTGGGATGGCCAAAGTATTGGAGCCTCAGCTTCAGGATCTGTCCCTCCAGCAAGCACTACGGGTTGATTTCCTTCAAAATGGATAGGTTTGTTCTCTTTGCAGTCCAGGGGACTCTCAAGAGCCTCCTCCAGCACCACAATTCAAAAGCATCAATTCTTCGGCAGTCAGCCTTCTTTATGGTCCAGCTCTCACTTCCAGACATCGCTACTGGAAAAACCATAGCTTTGACTATTCGGACTTTTGTTGGCAAGGTGATGTCTCTGCTTTTTAAGATGCTGTCTAGGTTTGTCATCACTTTCCTCCCAAGAAGCAAGTGTCTTTTAATTTTGTGGCTGCTGCCACCATCTGCAGTGATCATGGAGACCAAGAAAGTAAAATCTGTCAGTGCTTTCATATCTTCTCCTTCTATTTCCCAGGAGGTGATGGGACCAGTGGCCATGATCTTAGTTTTTTTGATGTTGAGCTTCAGACCATTTTTT